TGCCATACAAATGAACCGAAACTAGTCATCCGCATAGTGCAACAATATCATCCATAACTCGGAATTATTTAAAATTACAACTACTTATTAATTTCTTATATAACTTACTTGCTTGAGGAAGACTATAATTGAACACACTCGTGTTCCCCGTCAGTGCTATTCGACGCATTAGCTCGACTTGTGCAGGAAGCAACTTGTTGAATTCAATTATTTGCTCTTGCACAGCCAACATTACATAATAAGCCCTGAAAAATTCTGGGTTGTCTCGTTCAAGCCTCGCCCACACTGATAAAACAAGGAGCAAAACTAGTTAAACGAAAATTGAGTACATGAATCACCATATGCACAAACATGAATCGCCACAAAAAGAAAAGGCAAACGAGATCTCGTTTAGAGATGACGAAATAAAAAGGGTAGATAGATATATAGTCTTCGATAATTTAAAATTAAAATACCTAATCTAGTAACAGCTGCCTGAATGTTCCCCTGTGTAGCGAGAAAGTTCACGGTTTCCCTTTTGTTCATATACATCTGCATGCACCTCTCTATACACTCTCTTACCTTACAACCAATAAAACAAAACAACAGCAGAAAATTAACACAATTTTGTAGTGAGAGTTAACAAAGTACCAAAGAAACCTTTGATAAATACAACCAATTAAAGATCATTAAACCCAAGAGCATCAATCACTTCTTCTTCTTCTTCTTTTTTTTTTTTTTTACTCATTCAGCTCATCAACTTACGTGATCGATTTCTTGATCAATCGATTTCCGGTCGTTCCCAGTCGACATCTTCGAGTCCCGTCACCTTGAAATTTCTATCAGACTAAGCTCTGTTGAAATTCATCAGTCAATCGGAAAAAAGAGAAGAAAGAAACTGAGAAATTGAATTTCGAATTCACCTAAAGAAACAAACCGAAAGCAGCATAAAGCACAAATAGAGAAGCGATTCAACAAAATATCACAAAGCAACAAAGCCTCCATGAATGCGAAAATCGAAACCCTAAATCTTAATCGAGCTAAAATACCTAAAAAAGAGGGAAAATATGAAATCACGAATTCATGAATGCGTGAATGAAAGCATCATCATACCAATTTTCTTCCTCGGCGCACTGAATTGAAGTGTAGCAGTAGCAACCCAACTGAAAAAAATATTAGGAAAAGAAAAAGGAGGAGCAGTTAGCAGAGATTTATTAACCTCCATGAATCTCTAT